AGGTCCATAACACCTTCAGGGGTCCTTGACCATTTTCAAAGAGTCGATATCAGCAAAAAGAAATTGGGGTGTTCACAAAATTAAATGGTGGATAATATAATAATATAATATCTATAATAATAATATATTTATATAATAAGTCTTTTACAATATTTATAAACTGATCCAAAGACTAAAAATTACATTGCACGTTTTTATAAAAATGTGTTAGTTGCAGCATGCAGGTAATTAATTTGTGGTAGCAAAAATTTGAACTTGAAGACCCTAAATTCTGACTACTAAAAGGCGTTTGTTTGGCAATATTCTTTGCTCTTTTCGAGACTGTTCTAGTATTTCTCAATACTAAAGATAACTAGTGGTGTATGGCATCGTGCCTTAAGGAAAATTGCTGGAACTTTCCCTACCGTAGTGGAATAATCAAATATATTTGAAGAATCTGATATGTTTTCAAATAGATTTTAATAAATATTTTAACTTCCAATATTCGTATTTTATAGACGAAATATAAGAGTAAGAGCTTATGAATTGTATGACAACGTTTATATTTGTTTACATAAAAAGTAAATAAACAAAACTTAATCAATCTGATTTAAAATGAAGGACTTTGTCTTAATTTTTATAAAAATTATATAAACTGAATTGTAAAGTTAAAATTATTTGTTTGAAGTATATAAGTGAGCTTTAGAACTTTAGCTAGAGTTAAAATTAAAATCCGAATTATTTTCAATATTAAAAAAAAATTCTTAAATTAAAAAATATATTTTTTTTCCATTTCCCAAAAGCAATCGTTTCATCAACACAAGCAGAGAGTTTTATTAATCATTAAAATCAGATGCTTAGTTCTCTTAAAAACTGTCATTTTTTGCACATTTAGCTCGGTTGCCAAAAACTAACCACCACTTATACCCATTATTACAAATTGAATGTTTTTTGGATCATTCAAATCTGATGCTTCGTTCTCTCCAAAACTCGATTTATATTATCTGCACTCTCTGCTCTATATCTCCGAAACGGCTGAACCTGCCCTTGCCAAAAACCAATCAGCACATTTCCCTATCAATAGAAATTGAATGTTTTTTAAACCAATCAAATTGGTTGACCCGTGCGCCCGAAAATGTGGACGAAGAATTGTATTCATACGTACATACACACACACATTCATTTTTTTCTAAGTTGTGATTACTATATCTTACCCTACGGGAAGTTAAAAAATGATAATTGTAAAATAGATATCTTAATACCTAATAGAAAGGAGGCTTATTACCGATTTCCTAACAAAAATAGATGTAGACTGGACATCATTAGCCTAAGGATGAAGCCTTACACAATTGACGCCAAATAGTGATAATTAAATATTTACTTGTTGCTTACTTTGCCATTTTAAATTCAATTAACAAATGTAGGAACTCTACGTGTATTTTCATTTTAAATATTTAAAACGAAACTTTAGTACAGTAAGAAATTTATAAAAAAAGTTGATATCGGGTAAATAGAATAACGACACAAAAACGTTAGAGAACATATGGTATTGGTGATTTTTTATTTTATTAATTAATAAACAGCAATCAAAATTACATAAAATTTCATAAGCTATTCTGCCATGGTTTAACAACTATATATATATATATATATATATATATATATATATATATACATGGTCTGTTCAAAAAGTACCCGGAATTACTAATAATTAAATTTCGCGGGTCTGGAGTGTCTGATTGTCAAAATTTTTTTATTGTGTTGGTATACATGCCCCTAAAGTATGATGAAATTTTCAGCTATATTCACTGTTTACTTTGTCTGTGGTAGTCGCTAAGGTTCGACGTGTTTTTCTGAGCTCGGCGATTTTTACAATGGAAGAATTGAAAAGTCAAAGAATTTGTATTAAATTTTGCGTAAAAAATGAAATAAAGTGTTGCAAAGTGCAAAAATTCACCAGATATGGCTCCGTGTGACTTTTTCCTATTCCCAAAGTTGAAGAGACCCATGAAAGGACGGCGGTTTTCCTCGATTGAAGAAAATCGCTGAGAGTGCTCAAGGACATATCAAAAAGTGAATATCAAGGGTGCTTCGAAAATTGGAAAAAACGCTGGCATAAGTGTATTATATCTGGGGGGGACTACTTTGAAGGGGACCACATTAATGTAGACGAATAAATAAATATTTTTTTGAAAAAACGAAAATTCCGGGTACTTTTTGAACAGACCTCGTATATATATATATATATATATATATATATATATTTAATAAATGAAATAATAATATAAATAATAATGATAATGATAATAGTAATAGTAATAATAATAATAATAATAATATAAAAATAAAAATAATAATAATAAAATAATAGTATCAGGATCACTCCATTGAATGACCACTTAAAGAAAATAAATCAAGTAGATCTATGGGCCAGTTTATTGGTGACAATTGATGATTTTACTCTCCTAAGATAAGTTTACTTAAGTAAATTACCCAAAAGATGCTAGGTGTACTAATTACATACCTTAGCATAGCTTTATACTAGAGCGAAAAATATTAAAATCAATCTATTTCTTCAGTTTATGAGCAAAGTTTATTTATGAGCACGTTATATCAAATTCGTGTTAAGAATTTTTCCTTAACGATGCGGCTCTCTTCTATTTTGCAATAATTTAGTTAAATTGAACCTTATTTTAATTAAACAGAGACTTATCTATTATAATGCATTCTTAATTGCAGTAAGAGTAATTTTTTTCTATACATATTTAATTTAATTCGAAGTTAAATTTGGGTAATTATGGAGTGGCTCCTAGCATCTTCAATTCATTATGAGAAAAATATAGTATAGTAAAAAATAAGAGTATAAATTTAATTTCATTTGAAACGATAATGATTGAAATGCTCTGTCATGTATACTAAAGAACTACTAGTTATTTATCCATCGCAATTTTAAAAGTACATATATATTCAGATGAATTGGAGAAAAATAGATAGATAACATAGAGAAAACAATATTATTCAATTTAGATGAGCACGAAAACCAAAAATTTTTTGTTATATATAAAATTAATGGCCACACAAGATATAAAATACTTAATTCACAAAAGATTGCCAAACAATTAAAAAGCATAAGATAAGCTAGTTGTACGTGGCATCGTGCCCTGTATCTTCGAAGTGACTTAACATGTCTTCCCAAGAGCTAATCAGCACATCTCCTTATCAATTTGAATCGAATGTTTATTGAATCATTCAAATCGGTTGATCCTTGCTCTCGAAATCGTCAACGAAAAATTATATCCAAACATATATACATACATACTACACACATATATATCCATTTTTTCTAAAGTGTGCCAAAATGTTCGGAAGACCTTCTTAAGGGGGTATTCTAGTGTAGAGGCGTGAATTTCAAGTCATTTTTAAACCATCATAAAAAATGGCAATTATTTTTTTTATTATTATTTTTTATGACTTATTTATTGACGTTGCAAGAGTACAGAAAAAGATTAAAACAAAAAAGTTGATAATTTTGAAAATCAGCAGTGTTCGAAGTGAAGGGTCTCAAAAAGTTGACACGTGACCGTGCACACGATTGCAATCCTCCTAGTAATTCAAAATGAAAAAAAAAGATTATTAATCTAGAATGATGTCGCTATAGTAGGATTATACTAGGATTAAATTGAAAAAAAAAATAGACAAAAAGGCGGCTGTTTGAAAAAAGGCCATTTTCTTACAATTTTTTGAGTTTATCATTTTTTTTAAATATTGAAAATTTATATTTGGGGATGAAGCTACTATATACTAGAGAGAAGTCTATAGAGAAGATTCTCTAGAAATCGTGTACATCGTATTGAAAGACAGTTTAGAGAAAAACGCGTTTAAAGTTTCGCAAAAAAAAATGAAACAGAAGTGGATTATCATGGTCAAAAAGCTGTATCTTCGAAAATTAATTATATTTTAAAAAATCCTCTTGCGCATATACTTTTGAAAAGTTAAGCTTTGAAGATGTGAACAATAAAACGATTTTTTGGAATTTCTACATTAGAATAAACATCCAAAAAAATTAATTTTCGATTTTTGCGATTACTATAATTTATTCTACGGGTAGTTAATTATGTAAGAATCCATAATAATAAAATTAAGTTTTCTTCTCGACAAAAATATATATAAATTTAAAAAAATTATAGATAGAAAACGTAATTTAAGCGAACGTTATAAATCTATGGAGTTTATAAAGTTAATTAGAATAGATAATAAATAAATAAATAATAAAAATAATATTAAAAGCGCTCACTCTATTTTCTATTTCTATGGAATACCATAAATAGAGCTCGGGCAGCGCCCTGCATAATGAACGATGTTTGCAAAGTTCCAAAGATGAGGCCATTACATATTCTAACAAATACTACCATGCAATATAAAAATCATTTTGTGAGATACTAACTAGTTACTGTTATAAATTTCAGGAACTTCTAGTACATGTTTTTTACTAATTTGGAATCTTGCAAAGATTTTTATACAAGCCGTATAGCCTCGGGCATTTGTCCGCGTTGACTCCCACCAAACCGGGCCCTCCTTCATGGAAAAAAATCGCGTGCCCTCAAGGCTCCGTATGTGTGTCACGTGCGATAAATGATTCTTATTAGATTCTATAGCGAAAATTCGAACCGCGCGCGAAATTTTTGCGAACAGATGGCAACGTAAATATGAATGATCGATTCTTTGCGCAACAATGAACCTTGGTTTAAGCAAGGTTATGGTTAAGCAGTTTGTTAATATTTGTGAATGTATTACTCAATGCGAACTTTAAATAAAACTTTATATTTACATCCAACGTTCCGCCGTTTTGAATGATTTTTCGTGTTTATTGCAAAAAAATATGACACTACATATAATCACACAAACTTTTTCAATAGAGATTTTATCATTAATTCATATATAAACTAATTGTTAATTCGAATTAAGCGATTCACTCGTTTATTTTGATGAATTTTCGATCGCGGTCGATTTGTTGAATAGTTGCGATACCAATGTTAAAACTTAAAATTTGATACGTCAAAAATCCGCACCGTCGATACTGGCCGCCTATGTCATTATGCGTTGCGGAGGCCAATATCATTTAAAACGGAAACAAAAATATTTCGCGTATAACGAGTTGAGCAGGCAGTGCAAATTAGGTATAGGGGTCGACTGACGTTGTGATGGCAAAAATTTTGCGAAAGGTGAGTATTTTTTAAGTTTTCCAAACGATCGAATAAATATTATTGTGAAGTGAAAACATGTGATAAAAGCAGCCAATCTAAAATAAAATATCGTCGACGTTATAAGTATGCGTTAACTAGTGAACGAGATGAGATATATGTTAATTTCGCGAATAGTGGATTAATATGGCGTATGCGAATCTTGACAAGTAGATATTACGCGTTTGAAGGAATACTCCCTACGTGTATAAATCACGTGTCATAATGTTAATGACCTGGACCATATACAATAATTCCTAATTATCGAATAAATAAAAAGCCGATAATGATTCGCGAATCGTTGCACAATATTTTAATGAGAAAAGAGTGATGTTGTAGGCAAATTTGTTTATTTCGTACGGTTAATGAGCGGCTCTCCGGCTTATGTGGACACATATCAAGGAATCCGAATTCGCGATATGTGATCGAACGTATCGCAATGTTAAAAATATATACATTTTGTTATCTAAGCAAACGAGTTGCCGTCGTAAATTCATAACCTTTAAGTGAAGTGAAAGAACATGTTAAAGTATTTTTTCCATGTTCTACAACTATTCCAATATATTATTTTTCCAATCATGACGTTATCAATTCATTAAAATTTGAGTTTTAAGTTCTGTGCATTTAACCTCACATGCTTGTTTTGAATAAATTTAATTTTAAATTATTTTTTGACAAAACAGATATCACACTGACATTAGCATAATGGACCAGCAATTTTGTCTTCGCTGGAACAATCACCCTACCAATTTAACAGATGTGTTGGCTAGTCTGTTGCAACGAGAAGCCCTCTGTGATGTTACTTTAGCTTGTGATGGAGAAACGGTCAAAGTAAGCTTAATATTATAATTACTCTATAATAATAACTTAATCTGTAATATTATAATTTACAACCCTTAAAATATTTTTTCATCATTTTTATTGTTTTTAGGCACACCAAACTATTTTGTCAGCATGCAGTCCATACTTCGAGAGTATATTTTTGCAAAACTCCCATCCACACCCTATCATATTTTTGAAAGATGTTAGATTTGATGAGATGCGATCTCTATTGGATTTCATGTATAAAGGGGAGGTCAATGTTGGCCAGTCGAGATTACCTATGTTTCTAAAGACAGCTGAAAGTCTTCAGGTATATAACAATCTAATTTATCTTACTTATAAAATTATATATATATATATATATATATATATATATATAATGATATTAAGATATTCAAAATCTCATATTTCTTTAAATCAAAGTATACATAAGCTGTCTGTACTGAGTGATTCTTACTAGTGACCTTGACCTTGTGCAAGACCTAAAGTCAATGTCGTTCTTTGTTATTGAATGTCAGAAATTAATGAATGTGTAAATTTTAGGTTCGTGGATTAACTGAAAGCGGTCATATTTCAAATCGCTCAGAAGATCACAAGCCTGATAACTTAACGATGTCTGGTCGTGATAGAGAACTCCAAGAACAACGTGATACTATAACTTCACACACCAGTTCAATTCAGTCTGGCCCAACTGATTTGAAGCGTAGAAAAAAAAATACGAACTGTGATATATCTTTGACAAATTCTTCTCTGTCAGAGAGGCAATTTGCCGAATCTCAAGTAAGTCGATACAAAAATTTAATTTTTATGTATGTATTTAAATATATATATATATAAATATATATATATATATATATATATATATATATACTAAAATCATATTTAATCTTCATTATATACAATGACACAATTTTCATACCATTTGTTTCATCGAGCAATTAAATTCCAAGGACATTTTGCATGAAAGCTATTCTAGTATCACAACCTGATTATTATTTAACTGTAAAACGAAGTACTTTTTTTAGGTTTTAAAAGATTAAAAATTAAATTCATTATTCACATTAATTCCATTAATTACGTGGGTTCAAAATGCAGGAACTACGAACATGTATTTACAAAGTTTATCTCAAATAATAATATAAATATGAAATTTTGATTTGCCTGTTGTAAAGTTTCAGACAGTTTTTAGAATTCCAGAACCAAAATAAGTTACAAAAACGTTATTCAATTCTTACTATTGTCAAATTCCTACTTAACTTTTTTTAATGCGGAATTATAGAAAATTTAAATAGTTAAATGTTTTATTATTACTTTTAATTTATTTGTGTAAATTTTCCAAACATCTCACAATATTTAAATTTTTGTGTAGAGTTCTAGACAGTTTTTAGAGTTCCAGAATCAAAATAAGTTGCAAAAGCTTTATTGAATTCTCAGTATTGCCAAATTCTTACTTACGCTCTTAATGCGGACTTAATAAAAATTGAAATAGGAAGATCTTTATTATTACTTTCAATTCATGGCTGTAAATTTTTCCATTGGAAGTAGATATGATAAAAAATAAAAGTTTGAGAACCATATTGATTTTTTACAAGCTGTTCACATGATTTTGATATGTTTTTGATTTTGTAACTCATTCATTGTAAGCAGTATTATATAAATATGCGCGCTGACATAATTATATTTTTGATACTTTTATTTAATGGCATATTCTTTATTTTTACTTTTAATAATTATTTTGTTAAACATAAGAAAGAAATACCTTTAATGCAATATGATAGTATGTGCTGATGTGTCATTATATCACATACATGATTTAGATGAAATATTTTTATTTGGAATTTAAGTTTATTTGATAATCTAATTAAATTTACATATTTTTTTTGTAATTAAATATGATGTCACAAATTAATGAATTGTCAATTTCTATGATTTATGTAAATTTCTCTGCTTTCAAACACAAACTTTTATGAATTCATATTCATCAATATATTTTATATAATCACCAGTTTATAATGTTTGCTGCCACAGTTGAATCACTAGTAACACAAAAATATAAAATAACTTTTTTTTTAATTTTCTCAAATAATTGTGACACTTAACCTTATAAATTATAAAATCACCATTTTTAAAACTAAAATATTTCACATATTTTTACATGATTTAATATTTCCATGAAACAGATTTTATTTAGATATATTTTACACATTAAATACATCATGTAACAAACATTAGCACTTAGTTTCAATACTGTTGACCCAATTTCTAATTTTGACTGAAGATGCATCTTTGGCTCTTGTTTTTGACCTTACCCAATAGAAGAACACACATGCACATGTCATATATACATATGTATGTGTTTGTATTTTTATATGTTTGTATTATATTTAATCATTTCAAAAAACTCAGATCAAATCAAATATCTTGAATAACTTATCAGCATCAAGAAATGTCAGTATTAGATTTCTTATTTGCAAGTACCTGATAAGAATCTGATAGGAAAAAAATGTGAGGATGAATTAAGGGATTTAAAGATAGCCTCTAAATTCTAGAAAAAAAGCAGTGTCATTGTCAAAAAGCATATTTTTTATTTGAAAGTATTTGTCACTGTTTATTCCTGTGAAATTTAAATTACTATATAAACATATAAATTGAATTGTATGCATCTATATTTATTTACACATAAATGTAATATAAACAAACAGAATAAGAGCAGGTAAATATTTTCAAAAGGTTTAGACTTACATGCTATGCGAGATCGAATATAATTATATTGTGAAGACATAAACATTGTGGATGATATTAATATGGAAATTATCAATTACAGAAATGTAAACATTAGTCACTGAAATACTTTAAATTTTATGTAATAGTTATTTCACAATTAAATTTCTACATTTGGCAATATAGATACAAAAATTCACAGTTATGTATGAATGTGATATTCAAAATTATTTGGAATTACTTATATTCCTTTTCAGTAAATACATTTTGTGTAGGCAACATATATTTCATTTGCCTACACATACAACTTGGTTATAGTCGTTTTACACAAATTGTATATAGTTAAAATATCTACTCATTAGGAATTTTAATCTTATACATTTCTAATATTTGCTTCAAATTATCTGATTGATAATGACAATTCAATAATAAAGCAAGTGATTAATTGCAATTATTTCCAAACCAAATAATCTATGTATTACATTTTTGGATGTTATTTATATACAAAGTGATCGTTGAATCATTGTCATATATTTTTGTATGAAATATATGTGCAAATAGCTGCAACGTATAATTATGCAGATTATAAATATGTCAGTAATGTTTGTTTTCTAGATTTATCTCATTCATAAAATACTTGTTTTGTCAAACAGCCATTGCATATAAATTTAAATGGGTCTTATGTAAGGAATGAAAGGTTTTTGTTTCAAGTTTCCCAATATGATTATAGCATTGTATACAAACCGGTTTGCATATCGATTTATATTTAATGAAATTTAATCATCCAAAATTTAGATAGTGTCATAGAATTTTAATAAACATTCTGCATGTAATGGAAATCGATTGCTATATGCCATTTTTTTTCTTTCCATAGGCATCTTCCTCACATAGCAGCTATAAGTCGAGTTCTCTGCCTAAATTGAACTCAATCTTGCACCATGATTCATCAAATGACGACGTTCAATCTCAGAGCGGAGTTGTGGGCGGCCGAGGCCTCATGCAGTCCCCATCGGCTGGTCATTCGGGTCATTCGTCCGCGCGATCCAACACGCCTGGTGTCATGTCTGCGGTCAATATCAAGCAAGAGATCTCGGACTCGCATGGTTCCAATGCCGTACATGATCAGAAACCCTACTCTATCGCGTCCGATTTTACGGTAAGTTGTAGTCACATGGTAGTAATATATTATTTGTTTATAATCATTATTAATGCATGACTTTTTTTTATTGCTGTTTTAGTTTTAATATTGTGCTTTTTATTTCTTATAATTTAGTGGATGTATTTAATGTTCATTTCTACAAAAACACCCTGTTTAATTGTGAAATATGTCAATATGTTACATAATTAACTATGTTAATTATTTAACACTAATAAAATTGTTAGTAATCTTGATATCAACAAACCGCAGTAAATATGATCCATGCACAGCGGTTTGATTATAAATTGTTTCAGACATAATTATTTTATACATGAAATCAAACAAGAATTTAAACTCTACAATGTACTATATTTATGTATAATATATATATATATATATATATATATATATATATATATAAATGATATGTGTATAAATATTTGCCACGGTTCTATATTGTCCGTATTAAATGTGTGAGGAACCCGGAACCACATGGTAAATAGGAAGTACTACATTTACTATTCTATGATTTCATGAATCTTGCAAATCAAGTACATATAAAAACAAAAATATTTATTTTCTACTTAGTTCACTTAAAATAAAAATTATATATGCTTTTCAAAATCAAATCATATTCAAAATACAGTAATATAAAAGTTTTTGGTATATAAAAAGTCATGTAGTGTATGCAAAAAAACAAACATATATATTTTAAAGTTTAATTTATTGTTGAACATATTATAATTTCAAAAAACATATTTTTTTTGTTTTAAGTAAACTAGATACTAAATGAATATTTTGTTTTAATGTGTACTTGAAGAACAAGTTCAAGAACAAGAACAAGACTTGCTTGTTACTTGAAATTAAACATAGCCAAAAATATACATTGTTTATTATTACGGAAATGGTTTGAATAGTAATGATTTGAATTTTTTAATTATAATATATACCCATAATTTTTAGAAATTATAGTAGGTAAATATAAATTATATTTTGAATTAATCAATTTACAGACATTTTCAATCATCAGAAAATGCTATCTATCTCATACAGTTTTAACTGGCATGTGACACACAATTTTTTTTCTTCTTTTAATTCAATGACATCATCTATGGTTAATTGAATTTTTTTCAATATTCAGGTATGGATAACAAGAGTTTGCTTTTTAATAATTTAAAAAAATAATATTATTTAATACTAATAATTACTCAATCTTAAATGCCACAACCAATGTAGATTCTTACCGTGTGCACAAGTGTGTGTTTTTATTTTTAAATTGATTACGTTTTATACGTTGTCTTTCAATTTTGTGAAAATTTTAACAAAATTCATAAATTGCGAAATAAATAAATCTGAAAGCCCTTCTGGTATTTAAATTAACTTAGCGGCTCTCAGTTCATGTATGCATTAATGTCTTTGGTGCTCTGTTCTGGTCATTCTATGGTAAGATGCTTCTAGCAAATTACAAATATATATGTATTATATATATATATATATATATATATATATATATATATATATATATATATATATATATATGTATATATGTATATTTATTGGAAAGCTAATTTATGTGGACTCGTCTATTTGTTTGTGTGTAAGTGAAAAGTCTAAAACATCGAATTAAACAATTTAATTTTATTAATTAGTGTCCCTGATTCCTTACTTATTTTTAAATCGCGTGCTTTATTCTTTCACATATTTCTTTGTTTTATTTGTAATACTCTTAAACATTTATAAATTCACTACTTAAGATAAAAGTGAGCAACTGTTTGTTAACTTTGTTTAGCAGTGAAGTGTAAAATTAAGTAGGAAAAAGTGCTGTGACTTTAAAATGAGATATGGAACAGGGAAGGAAGGAATGTTATAAAAAATACACATCTTCTATATTTTTTATGGGCATAAATCGCCTATAAACGGGAACTGTGTGTATTATTAAATAAATACAAATATAACTTCACGAAAAATCTTTACAAAATCCTTACCTTCTCTGTTCCCAGACAAAATCGGATTGGGGCGATTCTGTCAGCAGGAAACGTCGCACATCTGTCACCTGTGAATGGAACGAAAATGTTTGTAATATCAATCTCGGTGAATGGCAAAACACTTGCAATGTTATGAATCAGCAGTCTGATTGGAATAGACCTCCTCCAACTACTAATGACTCCACCGATTGGTTGAAGGCTTCTGGTTCTAGTACGAACTTGACTCAAAAACAGGAATGGCCCAATCAACCACGGACTTCGTCTTTACAGCAGTACCTTCTTTCATCGAAAATGACTATAGTGCCATCAGGACCGATAATTACAGATCAAAGAAGACTTCGTTTCATTGCGCCGTACCCATCCGAAGACCATTCCAGATTGGAAAGTGTGATCCATACTTCAAATCCGGTAAGTGTTGCAACAACGTCTTCCACAGTTGCCACAAGTAAAGCTTCATTGCCAAGTACCCAGAACCGGAAAGGTGGCAGATTTCGACAAAATTGGTTGGAACAATTTTCTTGGCTTAAATATGATGAGAAACAGAATATTATGTTTTGTATATACTGCAGGAAGTGGTCGCATGAAATTCAAGATATTCGCACTTCTTTTGTCGAAGGAAACGGCAATTTTAGGTTAGAAATTGTCAATCATCACGACAAGTGCAAAGTGCATAAGCTGTGTAAAGAGAAGGAGGTCGACAGTCATGCATGTAAGAGTGAAAATGCCCCTGCGACGGAAAAAGAAAATATAGCTAATCCAGTTAATCCATCGACCACAAGTGGTAACATTATCAACTAAAGTAATTGTGGTATAAGTTTTTTATGGACGTTATAAACTATATTGAAAAATAAATTACTTCTACCTCTGTTGTTATCAAAAGTTTTGTTATAAGTATATAGCTGTTTATTAAACTTGTTTATAATAATAACGTTAACATTCATTAATAAATTGAGATAAATTTATTTTATGCATTAAAGAAACATTGTCTTTGATTTCAAAACTTGTGTTTGTCTACAATTATGTAAAATATAATAATTTGTCTTAAAGTTATCAAAAAGATGATATTTTTAATAAAATGTATATTTTATGCTTAATTTGTCTTTTTATTCTAATATTTTTTCAAAAGAATATTATATACATATACATTTAGATTTTTTTTTAATATTTTGTTTAGTTAGTTTTACAAAATTGCATATATATGCGATCAGCATTATTGAAATTAATTGATGAGGTTAAACAGTTGAAGACTCATAAACAAACAAATGACAAAACTTGATCAACTTACTTTTGGTTTCCTTTCCGATGATTTCTATTTTGATGATTGGTCATTACATTAACAAATTTTAAAAAATATAATTTTTGATAGACATATTTTTCTATCCAAACGATATACAAACGTCGCAAGTTGACTTGATAATTAGTGATAGTTGAGTTATTTATATTGTAAAGTTTTTCTTATATTTAACCTGGAATCACATATAAAAGGCCAGATTGCATCTATCTAGTGCAGTACATTAATTGTGAATATAGTGTTATAATCCTAATTATCTTCCACAATACTTTTTTGATGTCCGTGTTTTTTTTATTTATAGTTGCATAACATTCAACAACATTTTCATTTATCACTTGCTTCTCAGAATTGTTTCATAGGGAATAAATTCGGATATGTTACTGTCCATTGTTATGCTATTGAAAGCTTTGAATTCTCAGAGTTTAGAATTAAAGATATATACTAGAATTTATATTTAGCATGTAGAAATACAAATATTTGTAATTAAAATTTTCATCTTTATAAATATTGTATTATAATTTTTTTTTTACAAAAATGAATATTATGACATGTCAAATTTCGTTTTGTTCTGATCCGATGTCTAGTCTACAATGGACCCACATCACTCCGCGCTTAGTTTTGACGTCAAACCTATTTGCAGTTGATCGGATAAACGCTATACTTAATTGTGTGTAGACTGAATGTAGAGGAGTTGTAGATATGGTGTTCATCTTTTGGTGTGAATGGTACTACTAGTGCTGACTAGCTCGCAGTGATCCAAAGTCTTGGCCAAAGTTCTTGTGCCTACGATGACCCGAGGTTTAGACATACTGTATACGTATGCCGACGGAAGTCCAGGTCAAGGCTAAAAAAATGTGATAGCCCGCAATGATCCGAGGACTTGGCATACTGGCTAAGTAAGCCATCGGAAGACCAGAGTCAGACAAAAAAAGCTAGTAAATACCATGAATTTCTGGATGGGTAATGACCCATCTGTTTGAAACTCGTCGCACCATTGTTCATCTCTTTTTGAAATCTTGGTCCGCGCTCATTTGCAATATTCAAGGCGTTGGTTATCAATGCAGAAATACGTTTATTAGTAATTAAAATTTCTATTTTTATAATTATTGTATTGTAAAATATTTCTTTTCTATATTCATATCTATCATGTAGAGATTATTAGAAATTTTACATAGGCCCACGTTTTATCTTTGAAAATATATTATCGTGTAAATGATTGACAGCAACAGTAAAGCTTTCGTAAATGCAGGAATAAACTATTGCATGATTTGAAACACTTTTGCTATATAGAAGAAAATTATGGAGTTTTTAACAGAAATTGAAAATTCGTTTTTGGCACATCGTTGAGAAGATTCAGGCTGCAAACGAGCCGCAATGAGAAGAAAAAAATTACCTATTCATATCAGAATATTACCTCAACCTACTTTACTTTTTTGTTTCTTTAATAGTGGTTACGAATAGGGCTTACAATACCGGGATTCCGTGATCCTGGACGATTTTTGTCCGGTATTCAATACCGGTATTGATACCAAACATTACGGTATTTCGGGATTACCAGTATTTTGTTAAAAATTGAACTTACGCAATACACTTAACAAGTTTCAACTGTGTATGTGTATTACCGACTCAACTCAGCCGACTATGACACATCGGCAAGATAAAGCGATTGTTTATATATTATATATGACCTCTGGGGCTCGCCCGTAGGTAAGCGGTTAAGAGCGACGGGACCTGAATCAGAGGTCTCGGGTTCGATACCCACTTCGAGTCGCCTGTTGTCAGGCAGCAGTGACAACGATTTTCACTTGGAAATATAGATAGCAATATGTTTCCAAGTGAAAAGAGCCCTTGCCCGGCATTGCTGCACCTGTAAAAAGTCAGTCCTATAGGATTAAATCTAATAACAAAAAATCATCAAATATGGATGGATTAACCATTTGGATACCATCTAAAAAATAGGAAGAAAGGAGAAGTTTCAGCCCAACAGCTCATAGGACATAAGGTTCTGATTGCTGTTAAAATATATAAAATAAAAAGAAATATATGACCTAATGAATGGAAGCCATTTATAAAAATTATTAGTCGTTCACGTGCATTGTCCTCATATTTAATTCGTTATCAATGATTTTTAAACAAAATATACAATCGACACGTTATAATTCTGTATATTGAATATCTTCCCATCAATCATTCGTATTTATTTATTATTTCATTAAGTATAACGAAAATTTACAAGTCAAATCATCGAGTGATATATAGCTTGATAATATTGGTCTTGGCGGAGGATGACCGCTCATGCGTACGTTGTAGATTCTTAATCGTTCATATAGAATTATTTTATTTATTTATTAGACAATCAGAAAATACTATAGATTTCTATAAGTCTTTGTCATGTGTTGATATCTAATGATGATTTTATTATAACATAAATACACTATACTAACACTTGCAAGTACTAATTCATATCGACTAATAATTTACTCGGATTATTTCTTTATGACAAATGTAGAATGCGAACAAAAGTTTTCGGCTTGTTATATTTGTACTAAAATTCGGTCCTTGCTTGAAAATTAAATAATTGATTGTTTATATACGAGGTCTGTTCAAAAAGTACCCGGAATTTTCGTTTTTTCAAAAAAATATTTATTTATTCGTCTACATTAATGTGGTCCCCTTCAAAGTAGTCCCCCCCAGATATAATACACTTATGCCAGCGTTTTTTCCAATTTTCGAAGCACCCTTGATATTCACTTTTTGATATGTCCTTGAGCACTCTCAGCGATTCGGCCTTTATTTCTTCAATCGAGGAAAACCGCCGTCCTTTCATGGGTCTCTTCAACTTTGGGAATAGGAAAAAGTCACACGGAGCCATATCTGGTGAATATGGAGGTTGGGGCATGACTACGGTATTGTTTTTGGCCAAAAAATTACGAACAAGCAACGACGAGTGAGCAGGTGCGTTATCGTGGTGCAACAGCCATGAATTGTTTTTCCATAAATCGGAGCGTTTTTTTCGGATTGCTTCACGCAAACGTCGCATCACTTCAAGGTAATACTCCTTATTAACCGTACGACCTTGTGGTAAGAACTCTTGATGCACTATGCCGTTATAATCAAAGAAAACAGTAAGCAAAACCTTGACATTCGATCGAACTTGACGTGCTTTTTTCGGTCTTGGCTCACCTGGGCTCTTCCATTGGGACGATTGGGCTTTGGTTTCGACATCATAACCGTACACCCATGTTTCATCACCAGTTATAACCCTTTCAAGCAAACTTGGATCGTTGTTGACGTCATTTAACAGCTCTTGAGCGATGTTCATGCGATTGCTTTTTTGGTCAAAATTTAGCAGTTTTGGAATGAATTTTGCTGCCACTCGTTTCATGCCCAAAACATTTGAAAAAATGTTATGACATGAGCCAATTGATATGCCAACTTCATCAGCAACTTCTCTAATTGTGATTCGGCGATCATTCATAACCATTTTTTCCACTTCTTTCACATTTTCATCGTTTGTTGACGTGCTAGGTCGACCGGAGCGTTCGTCATCTTCAACGTCTTCGCGGCCATCTTGGAAACGCTTATACCACTCGTAAACACTTGTTTTTTTTCATAGCAGACTCACCATAGGCTTTTTGTAACATTTCACACACTTTGTTACACTTTATTTCATTTTTTACGCAAAATTTAATACAAATTCTTTGACTTTTCAATTCTTCCATTGTAAAAATCGCCGAGCTCAGAAAAACACGTCGAACCTTAGCGACTACCACAGACAAAGTAAACAGTGAATATAGTTGAAAATTTCATCATACTTTAGGGGCATGTATACAACACAATAAAAAAAAAAATTGACAATCAGACACTCCAGACCCGCGAAATTTAAAAATTCCGGGTACTTTTTGAACACACCTCGTATTTTAAAAGCAT